CCACGAGGAAGAGAGCAAAGCTCACGTGCCCCGGCGGGCCTCAGAGCCCTAAGTACCGTGCACACGGACGCTCTGCTGTAGCCCCAGCCCGAACACCAGACCCGGCACGTGAGACGGCCACACTCATCTCCACGGTTCTCCAGCACACCCCACACTGAGCACGTCCCGACCCGAACGTGGACGCTGGTCCCGGCTCACCCCAGTCCTGTCCTCCCTGTCCGCTGTCCTTCCCGTGGCTCAGGCCACAACCCATGCCTCTGTCCCGGGCGTCTCTCTCTCCCGCCCACACCCAGTGTCAGCAAATCCCGTGGGCTTGTCTCCAAAACGGACCTGAACCTGACACCTAACACCCTCCTTGCCACTGCCTCCAGGCCCCAGCCACCACCCTCTGGACTTGTGTGGCAGCCTCCTAACTGGCCTCCTTGCTTCTGCCTCCATTTTCAGTTCGGTCTGTTATCAGCAGCCCAAGGGATCCAGAGGGATCCCACACGACAGAAGGCAGAGGGTGTCACCCTCTGCAACCCCCCACGTCTGCCCGGAGTCCCTGGGGCACCTTGCCCACCCCGACCCCCAATCCCCTCCTACTGCCCCAGCCACACGCTCTGGGCACAGGGGGCAGCGTGCCGGGCACATCCTGCCCAGGGTCACTCTCAGGACCTGTTGTCTAGAACGTTCTTGCCCCCCAGGCCTCTCTGTGAGCAACGTGAAAAGACGGACTGACGTCCCACGTGCCGCAAGGCTCAAGAGTGTGGAGCGGCCACAGGGACAGGTCCCCGCCACCGCCATGGCCACAGCCAGGCGCCAGGCACAAGCTATGACTCCACCCCGTCACCTGTTCCCAAGGCCTCGGAACTAGGGCTGCACAGCTCCAGTCACGGGGGATCAGCCGAACAACACCCGGTAGTCAGAACCATAAGAAAAAGCGGAAATAACCAAGGGGGTCCTCGGGAGGGGTTGTCGAAGCAGCGGCCTTTCTTTTCCCACAGGGCCAGGCATGCAAGCAGCCGCCTCAACGCGGCAGGAAGAGGAGGTGGAGCCGAGCTGCCTGGCCTGGTGGGTCTGAAGCTCACAAGGGAGGACCAGGCCTGGCCTGGCCCTGTCACCCCACAAACTCGCCTCCCCTGGTGCCCCGGGGCCCCTCGTCCCACTGGCACACTGCATCGGGGTCTAGCAGGTCCAGGTGGGCCCTCTGGAGCCCGGGCCCCAGGTTTCACAGGGCCTAGGCCGACCCAGAAGGGTGGTGACCACCCTCACGGCCCTGGACACAGCCCAGGCGCCCCAGCAGGAGGCCTTGGGGCTGCTCAAGGTCTCCGTGGGACCGTCTGGGCCATATGAGGGTCCCACTCAGGGCCCCCAAGGCAGGAAGGGGCGTGGAGCCTCCGGGCTGCCAGAGCAGAGCTGGTCAGAAGCACCACAAGCGGGAAGGGCCGGCCGGCGGGTACCTACACAGCCCGCCGTGGTGAGCCGCTGGTGGTGGCTGTTGTATGCCATGGCCACCGCACAGGTGTTCCAGGCCGCCACGCACAGCCACCACCTTAGAAGCTCTGAGCCTGTCACGCACTGCGCCGGATGAAGACACGGAGACATCTCGTCCTTCCTGCGGACAGGGTAGCGACGAGCCTCCGTCTGCCCGCTCTTGGAGGCTGGCGCGCGAAGAGTCAAGGGAGCTGCTGGAGACGGGGCCTTCCACTGTGGGTGTGGACGGCGGCCCCACAGCACCGCCCCAGCCCGTTCCCAGTGGACACACCCTCGAGGACACTTGCACCCCGCCAAGCCGGTCACAGACACCTGGCGATTATCCTCTACCCCCCTCACAGGTCGGAGAGCCAAAGTCCCTGGTGATCTCCAGTTACCAGCGCGCCAGGATGGAGGCTGAGAGTGGATTACCGGATGATCCCAGTCACCATCTCTGGCTCCCAGCACCCCAGCCACCTCCGAGGGGCCAGCCTGACAACCCCCAGGGCCTTCTCTGCGGGCCACCCCAAGCTTTCTGCACCTCCATGACATAACATCGGGCCTGATCACAGTCCGTCCCCAAACCCACCTCCTGTGGTCTGGCCAAGGGCGTCTGCAGCACCGGGCCTCCTGCTCCCTGCTGACTCAGGAGAGCGGCAGCATAGGCCGCCTGTGCACCTGCTTTCACGCGCAGTGTTTGCCGTTGAGCGCAGTGAGCACGCGTGGTCCCGTGCGTGGGCCAGGGATCGCGTCCTGACAAGAGCCCCAAACGCTCACTGGCCCAGAACATCTCGACTTGCTCTGCTCTGACTCGGCTCCTGCAGCCCTCCCCTGCCACGGCCGAAAACCCGAAGTTCCCTCATTCCTGCACCAGGTCTCCTGCCCTGCTGCCTGCCCCCTCGCGGCTTCCTGGGGAGTGAAGACCGGCCCCTCGGTGGCGCTTCCTAGCCCAGGCCAGCCGTCCAGCCACCTCAGCCTCCAAGCACCTCCAGGAGCCCAGCTCTGGATCGCCGACTCGCATAAGCGGGTCTCCAGCTCTGACCCCCGACAGAGGCCTACCCCCGACAGCAACACGCCCCTCGCCACCCACCTGGCACTCTTGCGGACCGTGCTCTGTGCCAGCCCAGACAAGGCGTCGAGCTCCAGGGGGACGTGGTCAGATGTTTCTTTTCACCACCGAGGACCTCATGCTGGAGGAGGGTTCGATAAATGCTTGGCCGTAGAGGAGTGAAGGTCTCTGCGGGGAGTGTGTTTCAGCGGGCCCGCCGCTCTGTCTGCAGCAGCTGCACGTGTTCTCGTGTGTATGAGTCTCTAGGGTTGGTGCTGCGAGTCCGGCTGTGTGTGTTCCTTGTAGGGTGTCCCTGGGACCAGGAGCACGGCTGGTGCTGTGGCCTCCGAACTACCTGGGCATGGGGCATGCGGTCCCTGGGGTGAGGACTTGGCATGTGTGGAGCGTGCACGCTATGTGTGGCACTTTCTGACTGTCTGCACGGTGGTGTGCGTGTTGCACACCAGGTCTCAGCGGCACGCGGGCAGATCATCAGGCCGGGTGTCCGCCTGGTTCGCCGCAGCGGAGAAAGGCAGATCCCGAGGCCTTTGGCAGGGGACGTCCCTAGCCGGCAAGCTGCAACCAGACCCGCCAGGAGACGCCCGTCACAGCCAGCCCGGCCCAGCAGAGGTGACCAGAGGAGACTGACTCTCAGTCACAGATGTCCCTGCAGGGGCTCCTAACGACGGACTCCTGGTGCCCTGGACACGATGCCCGGCAGCACTGGCCCCGTCACAAGGCCCTCCCTCCGGCTAAGCCTCTCGGTCCGAGCCAGCCACAGCAATTAGCCAGAGCGACTCAGCCGGTGGGCTGTTCCCAGCCCTGCTCGGGGGCCACAGCCGGGCGACCCCACTCTCGCTGACGCGGCAGAGTGGCGGACCGGGGTGGGGCAGTGCAGATAACGTGGGGGTCCACACAGGGCAGACACGACGCTCAAGAACCCCCTACACCCACAGACCAGCACGGCCACGTGGAACCTCGGTCCACAACTTCGGCCGCGCAGCCTGGTACCGTGCTGGCTGGCCTGTTAGGAATCGGGCGCACATCACACATGTGGCAGCTCTGGCACCACACCTCCCAACGACACCCAGCCCCCGTCCACAGAATAGTCATCTTCGGTGAAACCAAGCCCCTGGTCGCTACCAAGGCTGCGGGACCACTGACCTAGCACATTCAGAGTCACACAGCACGTCCACGCTAATGAAGTTAGGGACATGAGACATGTCCACAGGGCTAAAAAAACTCGGGTAAATATGGATTTGTAAGAACACTTAAATGATAAAGAGAGTTGTAGAATGAAGAAGGGCAGGAAAGGCACCAGGCAACACGAGTGAAACCAGAAGCAGGGACAGCAGCAGGCAGCAGAAAGTCGTGGCTTCAAAGTCGAGACAGGAACCCATCCAGGAGGCACCGACCAGACCAGGAGGCCGTTGTGCCAATAAAATCAAGCACAGACTTGCGAAGGAGAGTGACGTGTCATAAACTCTATGTTGACTCAACTATACAAAGGCTAACATACCCAGCACGAGCTACGAGAAGCACAAGAGGAACTTCATAAAAAACAAAATGAAGTAGGAATGTTCAAAAACATCAGTTACTTTCATAACTGTACGAATTTAGTAGACACAAAAACAAGGAATTAGAAATATGACCATAAACATACCTACAATCTGATATCGCCAAAGTATGTGGTGCAACGCTGTTTTTGTTATGTTCAGTGAAGCTTTCAAAATCAGTTGAGTGAACTTAGATGTTTGAAAACTTTCAAAGGTAGAGATTATAACTAAGCCATTTCCCCAACGCTTCTGATAGAAACTAGAAATGATGGGCCGGGCCATTGTGGCTCACGCCCGTAATCCTAACACTGAGCCTGGAGGAAGGGGAGGAGAACTCAAGGTCAGGAGTTCGAGGACCAGCCTAAGCCAAGGAGCGAGACCCTCCCCCATCTCTACTAACAAAACAATAGGAAATAGAATTATCAGGGACAACTAAATATATAGAAAAAATTAGCCAGGCCATGGGTGGGCATGACCTGAGTCCCAGCTTACTTCGGGAAGCCGGCTGGATGAGGCAGGCGAGGATTGCCTTGAGCCCCAGGAGTTTGACGTTGTGTGAGCTAGCTTGACGCCACAGACTACCTAGCCTGGCAACAGAGTGGACCTCTGTCTCAAAAAGAAAACCAGCTAGAAAATGCTGACAAGACAATCAGAACATTCTTAGACGTACTTCCAAAGAGGACGCACACTCCCACGGCTAACCTCTGCCCTCCGAGGAGGACAGTAGATTTAGCTTACCCAGAAACGCGACAGAAAGAAAGGACGCGGGACAGCAAAGCTTCCCTCCAGAGGAAACACGCCAGTGCAACGTGCCTTCCCCATATAAGAAGGAAAAAAAAAGAACAAACCACATAGTTAAGAAATCAAAAAAAGATAATTAAAGTAAACCAAAATAAAGTGAAACATAAAGTCAAGTAGCTTCTGGGCCCCAGACCGTACATCTTCAGGGACATCTCTGTGAGGAAGAGACCCAGGAAGACAAACTCTGCAAAGTCTAAGAGAAGCCAGAGGAGAGGGGATTAGCACGAGGCCTCCTCCCACCCGGGGTCCAGCCCGGACTGGAGGACGCCAGGGCTCAGGGTGTCTGCAGACTGCAGCCCCCACGCTCTGGAACTGCAGCCCAGGACAGGGATGATGGACGGAGGGGGACCTGGAGAGCCAGTCCTTCTGCCTGGCTCTCAGGGCCCGCCCGGCCTCCTTGTCCGAACCATCTTTCCACCAGGACTTCCCAGATGCCCGTCCGCAGGGCCCCCAGCCCGTGTTGTTTGGCCCACTCCACGGAGAGCCCCTCCACCGCTCGAGCACCCAGGAAGCACTGACTGTCGCTGGGGGCTCGGTGACACGGCCCCTTGTGCTGACAGTGAGGCTCCTGTGGGCACATCAGCCGTCCGGGGGCTGCCTGTCCCGGGGGTCCACCAGTCCCCGCTCAGGCCCTCGGGCCACGCTGGGGCTGCAAGGCTATGCTGGGAACTCAAGGCACGGACGCTGCTAACCCGGCCCAGGCAGAAAGAGGAACAGGAGGGAGAGGGAGTCAGAGAAAAACAGCAGTCACTCCAGAGGCTGCACAAGGCCACAGACAGCAGGAGGCAGGCCAGGCTCAGCCGCCCACACCAGGCGTCCGAGACATGAGGGCGAGGCCACTGCCTTTGATTCTGATCCCAAAGCGCTGAGCTAGAATCAGCTCTTTGCTTCACACGGAGGCCAAATCACTGCGCCCTCTGCCCAGGGTGGCAGGGGCCAGGGAGGCAGCTCAGAAACCAGGGCAGAGCCATGTAAAGAACGAGGCCACGAGGAGCAGAGGGCGACTGTTGGAGAGCCCCGTCCCCGGGCAGACTCCACCCTGGCCTTCCTGGGCTCTGTCGGGGCCTGAGGGGACCACGGCTACTGATAAAACAGACGCAAGAGGGGCCACACGCCTCCTCCCATCCTGGCACACCTGGCATCTGCCTTCGCCCGCAGCTCTCCACCAGGCCAGGCTGCACGGGGCCACCCAGCCTCCGTCGGGGCGGGCTCCACGGCCCACGTGGGCACCACGCAGACAGACCCCCACCGCCCAGCCACGGCCGAGCACAGGGACGACCAGGCCTCCAGGAGCAAGTGGCTCACAGCCAGCCTGGCCTCCGAGCCAGAAGTCACCGGGCACCCAAGCCAGGCGTGGGAGGACAACAAGGAGGCCGTGTGGCCTCTTGGCTTCAACGTCAGAGGCGTGGATGCCCACAGACCCCCCCAGGCAGGGGGAGCAGGGCTCCCCGCCAGGGAGCAGGGCTCTGCATGAGAGGACAGCGTGCTGGGGGACAGCGGGTGGCCAGGTCTGTCTCAGGAGCTGTGCCAGGCCTCACGGGGCTCACAGGGTGGTTGCTGGAGGACAAGCTGGACAGCTGCAGAGCAGCCTTGGGACAGGCCCCACGGGAAGCCCTTGGCCTCTGGTGAGCACATCCTAAGCTACCGAGTTGGTCTGGCACCGGGTAGAGGTGCTCACACGCAGCAAACGCCCCCTCCCTGCCAGCCATCCTCCCTGTGACACCAGCAGGGCTGGAGTTCCGGGAACCTGCAGAGAAGACCAAGCAGCAAGGGGCAGGTTCCCACCACTGCGAGCCTGTGCTCCACCGTGCAGCACCCCCGCCGACTCAGTCCGGCACCACCGCTTCTCCTGGCGGGAGAACGGACCCGCCTGGCTGGGTCAGGAGGAAGCCCTGGACCGCCACGCAATCCCACATGCAAGAAACCGTAGCCTGAGGACTCAAGAACAACACTGAACTCCGTCCCAAGCAAAGCCCCAAGATAGCAAACCATGGGCCCCTGGACCCCGAATTAGGGACAGAGCAGGCATTCAATGCACACACTGCCTTTGAACTTCACCCTTTTGGGAGCCTGAGCCGGGAGCTTCCAGAAGCTCCCTGGGTCCTCCTGCGTCTGCTGCTCTCTACCCTCCCCCCCCCCAGCCCGGGACGAGGTCTCTCTACAGAGTTCGGGCGACTGCAGCCTAGAATCCCATCCATGCTTTCCCGTGTCTCTCCCACCGGGGAGCAGAGTCTATAGCTCATGAGAACCTACAGGGGCTGAGCAGCTCCCAGGCCGAGCAGACCAGGCTGGGGGTCCACAGAGGGGAGTGTGGCCGACGCCCTGGGGCCCCGAGGAGGCCACTGTCATGGCAGAACATATGGACAGCCAGGCCAGGACTGGGCCTAGGACGGTTTTCCTCTGGAGTCAGAAAAGCTCTCCTGGGCCGCCTGAGCAGCTTGAGGCACACAGGGCCCTCAAGGGAGACTGAGGCCTGTGGGGAGCCCCAGAAAGGCCCTGTCCCCATTTGGGCTGCAGACACCGAGCAGGTGAGTGCAGCTGACCCGGAGGATGGGACGGCTGAGGCACGGACCACAGGACAGAAACCATCAGTGGGTTCTTTGTTTCTACTCCTCTCTGTGAGGCAAGAGAACAGACCGAGACTACGTCCCACGTGGCCGCAAGGCTCAAGGATGTGGAGGGCCGGCCACTGGACAGGTCCCCGCCACCTGCCATGGCCACAGCCAGGGCCAGGACAAGCTATGACTCCACCCCGTCACCTGTCCCAAGGCTCGGGGACACAGGGCTGCAAGTCAGCTCCAGTCACGGGGATCAGGAACACACCCGGAGTCAGCCAACCATAAGAAAAAGGGAAATAACCAAGGGGGTCCTGGGAGGGGTTGGAAGCAGGGCTTTCTTCCCAAGGGCCAGGGCAGGAGCAGCCGCCTCAAGGCAGAGAGGAGCGTGGAGCCGAGCGCCTGGCCTGTGGGTCTGAAGCTCACAAGGGAGGACCAGGCCTGGCCTGGCCCTGTCACCCCACAAACTCCCTCCCCTGGGTGCCCCGGGCCCCTCATCCCACTGCACACTGCACGGAGGTCTAGCCAGGTCCAGGTGGGCCTCCTGGAGCCCGGGCCCAGGTTCACAGGGCCTGGGCCACCCAAGGGTGGTGAGGCCACCCTCAGGCCCTGGACACAGCCCAGGCCCCCAGCAGAGGCTCAGGTCTCCGTGGGACGGTCTGGGCAATGCAGGGTCCCACTCAGGGCACCCCAAGGCAGGAAGGGGCGTGGAGCACTTCCGGGCTGCAGAGCAGAGCTGGTTCAGGAAGCACCACAAGCGGGAAGGGGCCCGGCCGGCGGGTACCTACACAGCGCCGTGGTGAGCCGCTGTGGCTGGTTGTAGTGCACCATGGCCACGCACAGGGTGTTCAGGGCCACCACGCACAGCACCACCCAGTAGAAGCTCTGAGCCTTCACCATGCGCCGGATGAAGAACCGGAACATCTTCTCCTTCCTGCGGAAGTAGGACGAGCTCTCCGTCTTCCCGCTCTTGAGGCTGGCGCGGGCGAAGGGGGAGCCTGTGGAGACGGGGGCTCACTGTGGGTGTGGGACCGGCGGGCCCCACAGCACGCGCCCAGCCCTCCCATGGACACACCCTCGAGGACACTTGCCACCCCCCAGCCAGTCACAGACACCTGTGCGATTATCCTCGACCCTCCTCACAGGTGAGGGAGCCAAAGTCCCTGGTGATCTCCATGGTTACCAGGCGCCAGATGGAGCGCTGAATGGGAACCGGATGATCCGCAGTCACAGTCTCTGGTCCCAGCACCCCAGCCACCTTCCAGGGGCGCAGTCCTGACACCCCCAGGCCCCTCTCTGCGGGCACCCCAAGCTTTCTGCACCTCCATGACATAAATCGGGCTGAGTCAGTCCGTCCCCAAATCCCACCTCCTTGGTCTGGCCGAGGAGCTCTGCAGCACCCGGGCCTCCCTCTCCCTGCTGACTCAGGGACGGGCAGCACAGGCCGCCTGTGTGCACCTGCTTTCCACGCAGTTTCCTGGAGCGCAGTGAGCACGCGTGTCCGTGCGTGGCCAGAGGTTGCCGTCCTGCCCACAAAGCCCCAAACGCTCACTGCCAGAACATTCGACTGCTCTGCTCTGATCCGGCTCCTGCAGCCCTCCCCTGCCACGGCCAACCCCGAGGTCCCTCATTCCTGCACAGTCTCTGCCCTCTGCCTCGGCCTTCGCGGCTTCCTGGGAGTGAAGGGCCCCTCGGTGGCCTCCTGCCCACAGCCAGCCCCTTCCAGCTCCAGCACACCCTCCAAGGAGCCCAGACTCTGGGACTCCACTCGAAAGCGGGTCTTCAGCTCACCCCCGACAGAGGCCACCCCCGACAGCAACACCCCCTCGCCACCACCTGGCACTGCTTGCGGACCTGCTCTGTGCCCAGCCCCCAGACAAGGCCTCGAGCTCCAGGGGGACGGTGGTCACGTGTCTTTCACCACCGAGACCTTCGCGCTGAGAGGGGTTCGATAAATGCTTGGCGAGAGAGTGAAGGTCTCTGCGGGGGGTGTGTGTCAGCGGGCCCGGCCGCGTCTGTCTGCAGCAGTGCACGTGTGTCTGTGTAGGAGTCTCTAGGGTTTGCGCTGCGAGTCCAGCTGTGTGTGTGTCCTGCAGGGTGTCCCTGGACAGAGCACGGCTGTGCCTGTGGCTCCGAACACCTGGGCATGGGCATGGGGTCCCTGGGTGAGGACTTGGCATGTGTGAGCGTGCACGCTATGTGCACTTTCTGTGTCTGCACGTGTGTGTGCGTGTGCACACCAGGCTCTCAGCGGCACGCGGGAGCATCATCAGGCCGGTGTCCGCCTGGATTTGCGCGAGCAAAGGCAGATCCCGAGGCCTTTGCAGGGCCGAGCGGCTGCACCAGACACGCAGGGAGACGCCGTCACAGCCAGCCCGGGGCCCAGCAGGAGTGACCAGAGGAGACTGACTCTCAGTCACAGATGTCCCTGCAGGGCCCTAACGACGGACTCCTGGTGCCCTGGACACGATGCCCGCAGACTGGCCGTCACAGCCCTCCCTCCGCTAAGCCTCTCGGTCCAAGTCCAGACACCAATTAGCCAGAGCTGACTCAGCCGGTGGGCCTCTTGCCCAGCCCTGCTGGGGCCACAGCTGGGCGCCCCACTCTCCGCTGAGGCGGCAGAGTGGGGACGGGGTGGGGGGCAGTGCAGATAACGTGGGGGGTCCACACAGGGCAGAACCACACGCTCAGAACCCCCTACACCCACAGACCAGCACGGCCACGTGGAACCTCGGTCCACAACCTTCGGGCCGCGGCTTGGTATCGTCTGTGGCCTGTTAGGAATCGGGCTGCACATCACACGTGTGCAGCTCTGCACCACACCCCCAACGACACCCCAGCCCCGGTCCACAGAAAAGTCATCTTCCGTGAAACCAGCCCCTGGTGCTACCAAGGCTGGGACCACTGACCTAGCACATCAGAGTCACACGCACGTCACGCTAATGAAGTTAGGGACAGAGACATGCCACAGGGCTAAAAAAACTCGGGTAAATATGATTTGTAAGAACACTTAAAATGATAAAGAAGAGTTTAGAATGAAAGGGCAGGAAAGGCACCAGGCAACACGGCTGAAACCAGAAGCAGGGACAGCAGCAGGCAGCAGAAGTTGTGCTTCAAAGTGAGACAGGAACCGTCCAGGGAGGCACCGACCAGACCCAGGAGGCGTTGTGCAATAAAATCAAGCACAACTTACGAAGGAGACGTGATGTCATAAACTCTATGTTGACCAAACTATACAAAGGCTAAATACCCAGACACGAGCTACGAGAAGCACAAGAGGAACTTCATAAAAAACAAAATGAAGTAGGAATGTTCAAAACATCAGTTACTTTCATAACTGTACGAATTTAGTAGACAAAAAACAAGGAATTAGAAAATATGGCCAATAAACATACCTATAATCTGATATCGCCAAAGTATGGCGCACACGCTTTTTTGTTATGTCAGTGAAGCTTTTCAAAATCAGTTGTGAACTTAGAATTTGAAAACTTTTAAAGGTAGAGATTTATAAGCCACATTTCCCCAACGCTGTCTGATAAAACTAGAAATGATGGGCCGGGCATGGTGGCTCACGCCCATCTAACACTCTGGGAGGAAGGGGGAGGAGAACTCAAGGTCAGGAGTTCGAGACCAGCCTAAGCAAGAGCAGACGCCTCCCCATCCTACTAACAAAACAATAGAAATAAATTATCAGGAAACTAAATATAGAAAGCAAATTAGCCAGGCATGGTGGCGCATGCCTGTAGTCCCAGCTACTCGGGAGGCTGAGCAGGAGGATTGCTTGTGGCCCCAGCAGTTTGAGGTTGCTGTGAGCTAGCTGACGCCACAGACTCACTCTAGCCTGGCAACAGAGTGAGACTCTGTCTCAAAAAGAAAACAACTAGAAAATGCTGACAGACAATCAGAACATCTTAACTACTTCAAAAGAGGACGCACACTCCCAGGCTAACCTCTGCCTCGAGAGGACAGAGATTATTACCCAGAAACCGACAGAAAGAAAGACGCGGACAGCAAAGCTTCCCTCAGAGGGAAACACGCAGCAACGTGCCTTCCCTAAAGAAGGAAAAGAAAAACAAACCACATAGTTTAAGAAATCAAAAATATAATAAAGAACCAAAATAAAGTGGAACATAAAGTCAATAAGATAAAATTAAATGATAAAATTGAAATAAAAAAAATGGGAAAAACAAACCTAAAATCTGGTGGTTACTCTATGCACTAACCCATACGAACCTAAGAGAGAGAGAGGAAGTGGAGGTGGACACAGGGAAACCACGAGGAAGAGAGCAAAGCTCACGCGCCCCGCGGGCTCAGAGCCTAAGTACGCCACACGGACGCTCTGCTGTAGCCCAGCCCGAAACCAGACCGGCAGTGAGACGGCCACACGCATCGCCACGGTTCTCCAGCACCCCACACTGAGCCACGTCCGACCCGAACGTGGACGCTGGTCCCGCTACCCCAGTTGTCCTCCCGTCCGCTGTCTTCCGTGGCTCAGGCACAACCCTGCCTCTGTCCGCGTCTCTCTCTCCCGCCCACACCCAGTGTCAGCAAACCCGTGGCTCCGTGGGCTTGTCTCCAAAACAGACCTGAACCTGACACTAACACCCTCCTTGCCGCCGCCTCCAGGCCCAGCCACAACTCTGGACTTGTGCGGCAGCCCTCCTAACTGGCCTCCTTGCTTCTGCCTCCATTTTCAGTTCGGTCTGTTATCAGCAGCCCAAGGGATCCAGAGGGATCCCACACGACAGAAGGCAGAGGATGTCACCCTCTGCAACCCCCCACGTCTGCCCGGAGTCCCTGGCACCTTGCCCGCCCCGACCCCAATCCCTCCTACTGCCCCAGCCACACGCTCTGGCAGCAGGGGGCAGCGTGCTGGGCACATCCTGCCCAGGTCACTCTCAGGACCTTTGGTCTAGAACGTTCTTGCCCCAGGTGTCCTCAGGCTGACCTCACTCCGTCCACTCTGCTCCGTGGCAACCTTCTTCCTGAGGCCTCCTGTGACCACTCCATGGGACTGCAGCACCCCAGGACCTCTGACCCCCTTCCCTACTTCTCCTCCGCAGTTCCTGGCCTCTGCCGACACGCTGCTGTTTTTCTTATTATCTCATTGCTTGTCTGGTGCCCACCGAATGCGAACTCTAGCAGATGCAGGGCCTGGGTTTCGTTTTGCCAACGTTGCAGCCCCAGTGCTTCACTCACACGAGAGAATACTACACGCAGCTCTGTGAAACTGATTTGAACACCCAAAGGAAACAGAAGATTTCCTAACAAAGTATGAAGTACAAAACTGGCCCAATGTGGTTTTTTTTTTGGCTTTTTGGACTATATGGAGTCACAGTTTTATCTCACTTATAAAAAAACAGATAGTTCCAGTGTTATCTAAATGATTCCAAATCATAGAACAAGATTTTTTTTTTTTTTGAGACAGAGTCTCACTCTGTTGTTGCCCAGGCTCACAGCAACCTCAATCCTCGGGCTCAAGGATCCTCTGCCTCAGCCTCCCGAGTAGCTGGGACTACAGGTGTGAGCCACCATGCCCGGCTAATTTGTACATATATATATTTTTTTTTTTCAGTTGTCCAGCTAATTTCTTTCTATTTCTAGTAGAGATGGGGTCTCACTCTTGCTCAGGCTGGTCTTAAACTCCTGAGCTCAAGCATCCTCCCACCTCGGTCTCTTAGGGTGCTGGGATCACAGGCGTGAGCCACCTCACCTGGCCAGTCTCTTGTTATTGACAAAATACATACAAATAATTACAAATAAATAAACCCAACATAAAAATGAATAGATCTACAAAGAGATACAACAGTTTAATGTTTAAGTGAGAAACGAACATGTAAAAAGAGGTCAAAATCACAAGTGGGTGCAATGGGAAACAGTGCCCGTGAAACGCCACCTCACACTCGTCCCCCCGCCTCACACCGGCAAAACCCCAAGCTGTGACACCCAAGCAGACGAGGCCAAAGTTAACAGAGTGAAGCCCACACGGGACTGTGGACAGCACGTGTGCGCCCGGCCATGGCGGCCCGCCCTGGGTCCATCCCGGAGACAAAGGTGCTGGTCAGGGAGGACAGACGCGTGCAAGGACCTAGGGCAGCATCCTCACAGCGAGATTTAAAAACTAGAAATAAAGGAACAGCCAGGGCAGCTGAGTGATTTAGGGCGACTCCACGTCGTGGACGCCTCACAGCCATGGATGGCAGATCAGGGTTGGACCAACTTATCAACGGGTAGCGGTTTCAAAAGGTACAGACGAGAGAAGGGTCCCCAAACTCTACATGCACATATGTGTGCCCACGCCTGTGTATGTGTGCCCATGTATGCTGTCTGAGATGAGCACGGAGAAACCAGGAAGGGCACGTTCTCGGTTGTTAGCATGGCTCCCTGGCTTGGGTGAGGACGGAAAGGGTAAAGTCTGAGAAAGAGTATGTGTGTACACGTGTATGCATTGCATGTATGTGTGTGCATGTGTGTTCTGTGTATATGTGCACATGTATGTGTGTATGTGTGCATGTGTGTGTGTGTTGTGTATGTGTGTGTGTACTGTTTTATTAAAGGGCTCTGTCTCATAAATGTAACAACACAATGGGAAACAGACCCTTTGACTCAGCTCCACTCACAGACCTTGCAGGGTGAGGAAGCCGAGCCTGGATTTGACCAGGTGGCTTGAAATGAGAAACCACCGCTGCCCAGCGTGGGGCCCTCTCCACGCAGTTAGCCTGGGGACTCAGGTCTGAGTCTCCCTCGGCGGCAGAACGCACAATGACAGGCCGTTTGGGCTGGAAATGCCCCGGCACTCGGGTTCCAGAACTTTGGCACCAGACAGAGGGGAGGGAAGTCTGCAGAGGGAGCCCATTGCACAGGCACTGTTTTCCCAAGTCTGCAGAGCAAGTCAATGGCAGTGTCCTTTCCCCACTAGGGAGTGGAGGGGAGGGGGAAGGGGAGGAAGGGGAGGAGGGGCCGCCGCGGCAGCTCCAGAAGGTGGAGAAAGGGCCTGGGAGAGGCTTAGAACCTCCGGTCCCTACAGAGGCAGCGACACAGGAGGCCCGGACGTGGGGGGGCTCCGCGCGTGCTGAAGGGAAGGAGCGTGTCTGGGGAGGAGCAGGCTCCAGGCGCGGCCGGGCGGGAAGGGAGCTGTGGCCGGGACTCACCGACGGCACAGAGGTCTGCGAAGCGGTCCTCGCCCTCCTCCGCGTGGATCAGGTCGTTGCGGCTCTTCTTGGTGGCTGCTCTCTTCAGCACTGCTTCAGACAAAGGGGGGGGGGCTGCCTGAGCTGCCCCCACAGCGCACCCCCCTCGCTCTGGGCTGCAGGCGTCTTTCCCTCCCCAGAACCGGAACTTTCCCCGAATTTCCGCCCGGGCCGGGAGCGCCGAGGCTGAGGCAGGACGATTCCCGGCCTCCTTGGGGTGCAAATTTTGAGGGCGGGTCCCGGGTTTCCCTTCCCTGCAGAGTGAGGTCGGAGGGGGAGGCCTGGCCACCGGGGAGACCAGGGAACGTCCATCTGGCGTGAGGCTGGGGCCCCAAACCCGCCGGAGCTCGGGTGTGGACGACACAGGTGCAGCTACATGCTCCAGCCCGGGCCTGGCAGCGGGTGTGGACAGAGGGCGACCCGGGCTGGCCGCAGGGCCCACGGCTGCGGCAGAGGGGCTCGGGTTGTGCCAGGAGTCTCTGCGTGGCCTTTGGGGCAGGACCACCAGGGCCCCGGCCACGGACACGGCTCGGCCTAAACCCGCAGTCTCAAAGTCTGCAGGAGCAGCGCCGTTCGGCAGGGCCTTCCAGGACGGCGACGTGTGCGCATGTCGGGAAGGCAGGGCCGACTCCGTGGCCCAGGTCCGTGTCTGTGCGCCTGGCACTGCGGGGGCCCCCATGTGAACCCCGACAGTTCGCACATAAGCCGCCGCCCGGCCAGCGCCGGAGCTCCCTCCACACAAGCAGCGCCTACAGGGCCACCTACCATCCAAAGGGGACTTCTCCTCCGCGTTCTTGTCCTCCTCTGCCAGCATGACTTCCTCTGCGAGGGGAACACAGCCTCAGGCCGCAGCCTCCCTGTCCCCGTCCCCCCGCAGGGCTCATCTCACAAATGCGCCCGGTTAGGCACGTCTCTCTGCAAGACGGGCCCTCTCCACTCTCACGCTGCCCCAAGCCGGCAGGGCTCAGAGCCGAGCTTCTGCGGCCAGGACGGCACTCAGTGTCTGTAAGAGCCCCGGCTGCTCGAGTGCTGCATCCCACCCACACGTCACCGCCCCCGTGGGGCAGGTGTGCTCATCGCCGAGGAAGCACCTGAGAAACCGCAGGGGCAGGAGCAGCTGCCCCACCTGAGGGGACAGTGCTGGCCCGGGGCTGGGGGTGGAGGGCAGGAAGTCCAGGCTCGACAGAGCCCAGAGTCAGGCACAGAAGGGACCCAGGTCAAGGGCAGGCATTTGGTGTGACGGGGAGAGGCCAGTGCTAGGCTGGGCCAGGGCAGAGTCCCCAGCTGAAGAGGACACTGTCCCTGAGGCAGGACCCTGGTGGGGGGAGCCGTAGACAGACGCCTCCTCCCCGCAAAGCCCTTCAGATTCCACCCTCGGCCAGGGGACCCCCCGGCAGCAGAGCGGACTTGGGGACGGAGCACTGACAGAGGGCAGGCCAGGCGCACGGGGCCTGCGCCATGGCGCTCACCAGCCTTGAAGATCCACTCCAGGTACCCGTTGAGCTCCCGCTCGATCTGCTGCTGCCGGCGGAGCTTCAGGAAAGCGCGGCGGTTCTCCACCCTCTCTCGTTCCTTGGCGAACTCTCTGCGCCGTGCGGGAAAAGCAAGCAGGTGGGGTGAGTGCAAGCACACCTGCAGGCCCTACAGGTGCGCAGGGTGTCTCTGTGCAGGTGTCCCTCCAGAGACAAGAGGGACCAGAACGGACTGGGGCAGGAGAGGCAGGCTGCCACTCGGGGGGCCCTGCACCTCGCCTCTTCCAGACTGAGCACCTCGAGGGCCCTGGGGCTCCCCTACTCACCCCGAGGGCCCATGTGGACGGCCACGCAGACTCGCCCTCCTCACACCCCTGTGGCAGTTAAGGACGGGACCTTGGTCCCCAGTGGGGGGTCCTAGGGGCAGGGACAAGGCCACACCCCTGCCTAGAGCAGGCCCGAGCACGCACCCCCGGGCTGAGCCCTACGGTCTGCCACCGCATCCCTGCAGGACATTTCCTTGGCTTCCTCCCTGGGTTCAGAAACAGCCATTGCCGGGGGGAGGAGGGGCAGAAGGGAGCAGAGGAAAAAGGGACGGGTTGGAGCAGGCTGGAAGCAAAAGGAAAATACTGTAGAGTCCACCTGGGCACCGCAGCCAGGACCCCGAGGCCCGTGAGGAGCAGGAGAGACCTTCCCTCTCTTTAATCCCCAACAGCCCGGCCTCCTGTGCGGGAAACACCCGCCCTGCAGCACAGCGGTCCGCCCAGGCCAGCTTGTGGGAAGCCATTCTCCCTCTCCCTCTTCCCCCTACACACACACACACACACACACACACACACACACACACAACCAGAGTCTGCTTGCTGGCGTGGACGTGACAGGCCTAGCGTACAGCCGCAGTGGGGAGGAAGCTTGTCCCCCACCAGGACCGACCCTGAGCCCACAGCCAGCACCCACCAGGGCCAGGGGACGAGAGGACATAGCTCCTGCCTGGGCCCACCCCGCTGTCCGGGCAGCCCCAGTCTAGAATCTACAGGGAGGCAGGTCCCCTGTGGCCTCCCCGTCTGACCCAGGTCCCCAGCCTGGTCCCCACCAGAGAGCAGCTGTCTCTCGCACAGTGGCCGTCAGTGTCCCTGAACTGCTGTCCCCACTGGGTGGGGGAAGCCAGGAACAGTCACCAGTCCTGCCTCTCTGGGGGCCGGGAAGGAAGATGGGCGAGGCTGCGCCAGCTCCCCCCGGCGGCCAGGCGGCTCCTCACTGCGCAGCCCCGTGGGCCGGCTGGCCCTGGCTTGAGGCCCTTCTCTGGGCCTGGGTGCTGGCAGGAGGCTCAGCCAGGCTGACCAGGGATCCACCCACATCTCCCTTCCCCAGAGGCCGGACACTCACAGGCTCAGGCCCAGCACCAGCCCCTGGCCTCCTCTCCTGCCCGTCCTTCCTGCCTCAGAGCGAGACCCACGCAGCAGCCCAAGCGGACGGCTCTCCTGCCTCCCACGCCCCGGTGGTTCCCGCCCACCTTCCCGCCCCGCAGGGTCCTCTGCACGGAGCTCATGCCTCTCCCCGGCCTACACGCCCCTCCCCGGCCCGTCCCTGCGCCCTTTCCCACCACGCCCTCTGCCTCCAGCCCCGAGAGTCCCTGCGGCAAACACGCCACACGCGTCCCCCAGCCTCCCCGTGTCTTCTGCCTGGAAGGGCCTCCTCCTCCTCCTCCCTCAGCCTGCTCCTCCCCGGGCCTCCCCGGGCCTCCTCTGAGCCGCAGGCCTGGCCCGGCTTCCCCAGCAGCGCGGGAGGTGGCGTCTGCCCTCCGTGCTGGGGCTCAGCGTGTCCCCGTGCAGGTGCCTGGAGAGGCGTGCCAGCGAGGGCCCGATCCCGCACAGGGGAGGGCGGAGGCGGAGCGCAGTCTGTCCCTGCTGTGGCCACCCCTTCCCAGGCCAGCGTGGCCGCCACGCCGCGTCCCGGGCTCCGCCACCAGCCACCTCAGGAGCCCTGGGCCCGAGCAGGACTCTCCAGAGAGGGAGGATGCAGAGCCTCTCCCGTAGCTGAGGGCGTGCAGGGGCAGGCCAGGCCTGACACCCCCACCCTCCCTCGCACGGCTTCCTCAGCCCAGACACCAGCCCCGGCTGAGCCCAGGCACACGGCACCTCCCCAGCCTCAGCCCCAGGGCAGGACGGGCGGGTGCCGTGTGTCCTCAGGCCAGCGGCCACATCCCAGCCCAGGAAGAGGTCGGGAGGCCCGCACCCCAGGAGGCCCCAGCACTGTGCCCACTCCCACCCTGCCCTGGAGCAGCCTGGCAGGAAGAGGTGCCCTGAGCTGGGGTGGGCGGCCCAGTGGTCGGTGCAGCCGAGACCCGAGGGGCGCCCGGTTCATTCTTCGCTGCGGGGACGGGGGCTCTGTGGCCGCGGAAGCATCCAGGGACCCCACTGCAGACCAAACCTCCACCTACCCCGGTGAGAGGCAGCCACAGCCTCTCCCCACAGCAGAGGCCGGGGATGACGGAGGTAAAGAGGCCAAGGGAAGGCCAAGGACGGGGCCAGGACGGTGGCACGAGGGGAAGGCCCCTGGAGCACAGGACCCCAGGAGCAGCCAGCACAGAGGAGAACGGAGAACCGGCTTGCTGCCCACTCACTCGCGCCCCGTGCAAATCCACGGCCCGCCCAGCCTGAGAGCACGGGGCACCTGCAAGCCCACTCGGCCTCTTACCCCGAGAGCACACCCAGCACCAGGTTGAGCATGAAGAAGGAGCCGATGATGATGAGGGGTATGAAGTAGAGCCAGTTCCAGGTGTTGCCGGCCGCGTCGTTCGTCTGGAAGTGAGGAGAAGGCGTGAGGAGGACGCACAGACAGGACGCAGGCCCCGGCCCACGTCCGGCCCCGCCCAGGCACAGACCCCCGGCAGGGTCCATGTGGTGGGGAAGCCAGGCAGGGGCGTTCAGGCGTGGGAGTGGGGTCAGGCAGGAGCGTCAAGGCAGGGCGGGGGCGGACCTGCCCAGGCACAGACCCCTGGCAGGGTCCATGTGGTGGGGAAGCCAGGCGGGGGCGTTCAGGCGCGGGAGTGGGGTCAGGCAGGAGGGTCAAGGCAGGGCGGGGGCGGACCTGCCCTGCCGGGCAGAGCTCTCTGGGCTGCAGCTCCCGGGGCACCAGAGACACCCAGCCCTCCCAGACGCTGCCCAGCGAGGCCCGAGGAGCCCAGGGCCACCCAGGACGCCCGGGCACTGCCCCAGCAGGACACTCACAGCACCCCACCCCAACCCGGCTGCCGGACATCCCTGAGCAGCCCCAGAGACGTCTCCTCCTGCATGAACCCACAGCGTCCTTGTCCGACCCTCTGTCTGCAGCAGCCCCCACTGCCGAGACCACCGTGGGCCCCTGTGCTGCGTTTTCCTCCGAGTTCCCGGAGGACGGACCTCACCACATGCCCGGCCCACGAAGGAGCCCAGCACTCAGGCATGATCTGAATCGGAAAGCAAGGATGTGCGTCCTCCCAGATCTCTGGCTTTTTATAGCTCGGCCCACGGAGGGGTAACCTCCTCTGGGTCCCCTCTAATTCCAGAGCTGTGTTGTTTTCATGGGTCCCCAGCAGACTCGGCCAAGGGGCGGAGAACCTCTTTCTCCACGCAGGTGTCCTGCTAGAGGCGAACCAGGAGAGAGAGGGTGCGGAGGGTGGGCGACCCCCAGCCCTTCACTCCTCGCTTCGGGGGCAGCTCATGACTCGAGGCAGGGCCCAGGCGAGACAGCCAGGAGCACAGCCCGGCCCTGCCCTGCAGCCGGCCGACCCCAGGCACTGCTGTCGGCACTCTCGTCCTCTGGTGTCTGCCAGCCCTGGCAGGATCTGCAGACTCGACTCCCGGAAAGTCCTGGGTCCCTGGATGTGCCGAAGCTTGTGGCTTCTGACCCGTGGACACTGGTTTCAGGCTGGCCACCGAGATGCCTGGACCCTAACTCAGAACTGACATTCAGAATCCCAGCTCTAGGCAGGGCGCGGGGGCTCACGCCTGTAATCCCAGCACTCTGGGAGGCCGAGGCAGGAGGATCACTCAAGGTCAGGAGTTCAAAACCAGCCTGAATAAAAGCAAGACCCGGTCTCTACTAAAATAGAAATTAATTGGCCAACTAAAAATATATAGAAAAATTATCTGGGCATGGTGGCGCATGCCTGTAGTCCCAACTACTCAGGAGGCTGAGGCGGGAGGATCGCTTGAGCCCAAGAGCTTGAGGTTGCTGTGAGCTAGGCTGACATCACAGCACTCTAGCCCAGGCAACAGAGTGAGACTCTGTCTCAAAACAAAACAAAAAAAAAAAAAAACAAGAGAAACCAGGACTTGTACTTCTGGGAAGATGGAGTAGATATACCCTTCCCCATCTCTCCCACTAAGTGCAAATAATATTTTGAACGTTGTACATAAAGCAAACACAAGAAGACTCTGAAAGGTGGAGAAAAGAAGGCAGCCCAGCTAGGACCTAGAAATAAGGTGAGTTCCCTGGGTTTTCTTTTTGCCTAGTATATCCCAAAGTTGGAGCTGAGGAAGCCTGCAGCTTGGAAATGACCAGAGGGCACAGAGAAGAATGCACCAACAAAAGCCAGCCCTCTCTCACCAAAGGCTCGGGAAAGGGCAGCCTAGCAAGACAGAAAACTTTTAGACAATAACTACACTGTTCCAGCCAAACATCACAGAAAAAACTGTGGTTTCTTCTCCCCCTTTCCAGCAAAGACCAGCAGGCAGCCTAGACTTCCCCGCCCCCGCCCCCCAAGACTGCAATGGGAGGCCCGGGGTCAGGGCTGGGTGGGGAGCCCAGTGGTCACTGCAGCCTGGACTCGAGGGGACAGCATTCATTCCCCAGTGCAGTGACCGGGGCTCTCTCATCTACCCCAAACCAGGGAGCTGTCAGAGACGCCCAGTGGAGAGTGGGGCGTCCCTCCTCAGCAAGCAGCAAACGGGGCCCCCCAACCCCAGCCCACCGCTGTGATATTAGGGAGGACCACCCGGATGCCTGGACCCCCACACACAGTAATGAGGCACCCCAGCCCCGCCCTGCCCACTGCCACCAGAAGGGCCGAGGGGACAGTCAGGGCTGTCACCCCGGTGCAGCAGTAACGAGGCTGCCCCCGTACACACATGTGCAGAAACCACCTGCAGAGCAAGAACGAGGCACACCTGACCCCCCGCCCCTCCCCCCTGCCCCTCCCACCAGCCAGGCCAGCATCCTTGAGGTGCAGCGGGGGCTGGAGCTGCCAGCCTGCCCGTCAGCAAGAAGCCTCAGCAAGTGTCAGTGGGGTGGGGAGCCCTGACTGCCATTCTCACCCCTCTTCCCCTGACAGTGGTGCCAGAGGCAGCCAGCTGAGACAGACAGTTTAAGATCCAGGGTCTCACGGCTCAATACCAAAAATGTCCAGTTTTCAGCTGAAACTCACTCACTATACTAAGAACTAGGAAGAGCAGAAACTGAATGAGAAAAGACCATTCACAGATGCTCTGATGGCCAATTTTATGTGTCAACTCGACTGGGCCACAGGGTGCCCAGATATTTGGTCAGACATTATTCCGGATGTTTCTGCAAGGGTGTTTTGGATACAATTAATATTTTAATCCATAGAGCAAGGCAGGTTGCTCTCCATCGTGAGGGCGGCCTCAGTCACTCTGCTGAAGACCTATCAGAAATAACCTTTGGAAAATCAAGACATTCTTGGGACAAACTAGGAAACTAGAAGAATTTGTCACCAGCAGAACTCGCCTAGAAAAATGGCTAAGGAAGGTTCTCTGAACAGCAAGGAAATGGTGAACAAAGGACTCTCACCAGTCTCAGGTAATACCCAGGGAAACGAAAAGACAGTCCATGCAAAAACTTGTACACGAGGCCGGGCGCGGTGGCTCACGCTTGTAATCCTAGCACTCTGGGAGGCCGAGGCGGGCGGATTGCTCAAGGTCAGGAGTTCAAAACCAGCCTGAGCGAGACCCCGTCTCTAATAGAAAGAAATTAATTGGCCAACTAATATATATATATAAAAAATTAGCCGGGCATGGTGGCTCATGCCTGTAGTCCCAGCAACTCGGGAGGCTGAGGCAGTAGGATTGCTTAAGCCCAGGAGTTTGAGGTTGCTGTGAGCTAGGCTGACGCCACGGCACTCACTCTAGCCTAGGCAAGAAAGCGAGACTCTGTCTCAAAAAAAAAAAAAAAAAAAAAAAAAAAAAAAAAAAAACAAAACTTGTACACGAATGTTCACAGCAGCATTAATCATAATTTTAAAAGTGAAAACAATTCAAATGTTCATGAACTGATGAAATATAAACAAAATATGCTAGATACACACAATGGAATCATATTTGATAATAAAAGCAATGAAATACTGATATTTGTTACAACATAGATATAAAAACACAAAAGGCCACCTACTGTATGATTCCCTTTATGAAACGTCTGGATTAAACAAACCAATAAAGACAGAAAGGTCGGTGACGGTGGGGGCTGGGGGCCTGGAGCACTGAGGACTGACTGCTAGTGGATACAGAGTTAATGAAAATGTTCTAAAATTAGATATGATGGCTGCACAACTTTTTGGACATACAAGAAAAAAAAAAAACAACCCTGAACTATACACTTTTAAATGGTGAATTTTATGGTATATGAATTATGTCCCAACTAACGTGTTATTTAAAACCCTTCCAAAAAGAAATCTCTAGGCCCAATTTCACGGAATTCTACCAAACGTTTTTAAAAAACTTAACACATTTCTATGCAATCTTTTCAAGAATATAGAGGAGTAAATACTTCTCAGTTCATTTTATGTAGCTTGTTTATCAACTTGATACCAAAACCAAAGACAGGAAAAAAGAAATTTCAGACCAAAATACCTCATAAATACAGATGTAAGAATCCTCGATACAAATATTAACAAATAGAATTCAGCAACGTATAAAAGGAACTATATTGAACCAGCAATAGGAATAGCAATGCTGGTTCAATATTCAAAAATCAATGTAATTCACCATGTTAACATACTAAAGAAGAAAAATCACATGATCATATCAGTGCAGACAAAATATTTAATAAAATTCAGCACTCATTCATGATAAAAAATAAAAAACTCTCAGAAAACTAGGAATAGAGTAAAACTGCCTCAACTTGATAGAGAGCAATCTACCCTACTTTAAAAAGAAACCCTACAGCTAATGTTGTATTTAACAGTGAAAGACCAAATGCTTTTTCCCTAAGACTAGGTGATGGGCAAGGATGTCTGCTCTTACCTTCTTACTCAACACAGTGCTGACATTCTAGCTAGTGAAATCAGGCAGGTAAAGGAAGTAACAGGCATCCATACAGATCAAGACACATAGACTTACGGAAGAGAACAGAAATAAAGTCTTGCACATATGGTCAAATGATTTCTGACAAGGGTGCCAAAACTATTCGATGGGAAAAAGATGGTCTTTCCAGCAAATCGTGCTGGGAAGACTGGATATACACATGCAAAAGAATGAATTTAGATCCTTACCTAACACCAAATACAAAAATTAACTCAAAATGGATCAAAGATCTGAATGTAATACCTAAAAAATAAAGCTCTAAGAAGAAAACATAGGTCAAAGCTTCACAGCTTTGCATTTGGCAATGATTTCTTGAATATGAAGGCAGCAACAACAAAAAATATACAAACTGGATTTTATGAAAACTTAGTATCTTTTGATACACAAACTTTCTATCAACAGAGAAAAAGGATAACTAACACACAGAATGGGAGGAAATATTTGCAAATCATGTATCTAATAAGGATTAATATTCGGAATATATAGAAAACTCCTAAAAATCA